ATAACCACTAACATTGCCATCACTATTGATTGCCAAATGTATGCATGGCAAATGAAGACTACGAGCATTCAAGGAAGAGGGATGCAGAGGAACGTAGGCTGATTGAGATTAATGTGTATCCCGTTCCTTGATGAAATTCCTTGTCTGTTCCCACATCACACCATCACGCATGTTCACTATGCACGCGTGAATCTAGCTGGTCAATAGGACACCTTTAAAACCAGGATCTCAACTAAGAAAATTTGGTCTTCAATTGCAAAACAATTGAAGCTCAATTCACCCTGTTTGTGTAGGCGAAGTCTAGTGGTTGGGGTTGGAGGTTGATTGTGCGACAGATTCCCATTTTGCCTGTGCAGCAATTGCAAAACAAATTGCTGGTACATGAGAATTTCGAAAAGCTGATACAAATTGTTGGTAGCATAACTTTGGCACCAAACCGGTTTCCCTGCTTACCGTATTCTCCCGGACATAACACCCTAGGGTAGATCTAAAAATACAGGGAAAAAAAGGGGGGTGTCTTCTCATAGGAAAAAGCTGTTGAAAACAAGTAATTTAAGCGCTTCTGTTGTGTGTCGAAACACTAAGTCATAAACGAGGCGAAGCACAACGGAGCATCGGCGAGTCAACACTTGGAGGTTGAGAAGAAAAGCAACTGCTGGAGGTTACGCGAAAGTCAAAGGTCAGCGACCTTTGACCTGACAAATATAGCGCGACAGCAAGGACAAACAACTGACTCGTTATTGAGCAGTTGCCCGAGTCGTCACTGTATCGAACCGCAACAGCAACAGTAAAACAGTTAGTTGTATCTCTTCGTATTCCTTGTGCTCTTATAAAAACCTTGTACTTCCTTATTTTAATCAATCTACTTTGCCCTCACATACCTTCGCAAGGTGGTTCAAAACTTATCATTAAACGCTTCCGCTATTAAATTGTTCATATCTAGAATTTAGTCCTGCAAAGATCCTAAGGGCCTTTATCAACCCAACATGTTATCAGAGCGGTCAAGGCAAACTCAACTATTCCAACGTCACCTACAACATCAGAAGGCATGGCTACTCACAAGGAGAGAAGCTCCTCTAATGGCTCTCCCGGCACTACTCCTACTCCACCTCCTGCCTCTGGCTTACAGACAAAGGAGGGCACGGCAACAAGACCAGCAGCAGGGTCCACTGAAACTCCTGCGAATCAACCTGCAGCCTTCGACCCAAGCATGATGGAGAAATTCTTCTCCTTCATGTCCTTCTACGAGCAACACCAGCAATCGGCACCTGCGCAGTCAAACAACAGCAACAACAACAATGACGTGATGCCCATGAGTCTCGACGGCTCATCCTACGCGCGCGGAAATCAGCAGCAGCAGCCTACCTTCGCTCCGTACGAGCCACAGCGCGGCTCCATCAGCTTTATGCCGCGTCAACAACATTCACCTGGACAAGAAAGCACACTGGACGCACTTCAAGTTCAGTCACAATTCGCGCACGTCTTAAAGTTGCACACGTCAAGACCATTCGACGTAAAATACTTCTTTACCTGGTCTTTTGCATTCGAGCTGATGATGGAAGGCGCGCAGATCCTTGGATTCTTCGACGGGTCCCTGCCATATCCAACACACGGAACGCAATACAACAAGCAGCAGTAAACATATCAGTCAATGATGGCATATACAATCCTACTGAGGAACATAACTCCAAATCAGCAGCAGAACATTTGGTCTTACCGGGGATACGGGAACTCCGCCGAGCTCGCATACAACCACTTGAAGAACCTGTATCAGGCAACAAACATCGTTAATCAGAGTCGGTTAATGGCACAACTGACAACAGTAGAAATGAAACCGGGCGAAAAGGGGATGGCGTATATCAGTCGTTGTCGCGAATTGCGCGACAAACTCCTTCGCTGTGGAGGGTCGATATCGGAAGACGCCTTCGTCACAGTTGTTATTGGCGGTCTTGGTCCTCACTGGCGCTCCACTCGCGCCATACTCCGAGCTCACGGGAAGATCTCCGAAGCAGCACTCTGCGCCGAAATTCACGCTGAGCAGCAAGACATGGACCTGCAAGAGGAGCGGCACAAGAAGAAAACATCAGTACTCGAATTCGCTTTCCACACTCAACGGCGCTACAACAACAACAACAACCGGCATCAACAAAAACTCGTACCTCCATTTTGTCATCTCTGCAAGACGTCAGGGCACCCACGCACACACTGCCCGAATCGACAGCAATCAACGCCGCCACAACGTCAACTTTGCCCTTCAAGCAGTCAGGTAGCGTCCACACAGGCGCACCCCACAAGCCAGCCGCAGTCTTCAACAGCACTGCCAACACAATCTGCACAAGGAGCAAGAAATATCGTCAGCTGCATGGCGAAATTGACCGACTCCTGCATCACCGAGTCACCACCGCATTACTCACCGGAAGAGCAACTCGACAACATCACCCCTCGCCGTGAGTCACTTCAGCCGAACCCAACGTACGCAGCTATCGCCCAAAGCGAGCTGTCTGAGAAAGACACCTGGTTCTTGGATAGTTGCTGCGGACAACACATGTGCTCCTCGGGTCGCTTCGTCCAACGAGAACATCAACTCCAACGTTAAGTCGTCATCACCGTCGCCAACAACCAGAACCTGCGCACAAGACGACAAGGCGTAGTTCAACTTCAGTCACGGGAGACGATCGTTATACTGCAGATGTCAAAAGTTTTAATCGCGGAGGGACTCGGCTACAACTTGCTCAGTGTTAGTCAGCTGATGGCGAAAGGCATTCACCTCGAAGAAGACAGCACCATCCAAGAATTCAAGCTGTACCACAAGAGAGGCGGACTCTACATCGGGAAGGCGGTGTTGAAGAACAACGTCTTCGTCCTCGACTTCGTTCCGGACTTAGGCACCGCCGACAGCGACGCCATCGTCAACTTAACCACCTGGACACACCCGCCGGATCTTGATCCCGACTTCAGTCCGAGCGGCTTCTGGTATTCGCACACTATACCTGAGGCAGAAAGAACAAGGGCATTATCAACAATTCAACACACGGCAGCAGCAGAGACAACATCGGCAGCAGTAGAAACAACGTCGGCAGCAGCACAAACAACACCAGCAGCAGCAGAGACAACACCGGCAGCAGCAGAAACAATACCGGCAGCAGCAGAGACAACACCGGCAGCAGCAGAAACAACACCGACAGCAGCAGAGACAACACCGACACCACACGCTGGTCCCTCAACGGCACCGATCTTCGACGACGACACTCCTCCAACACCTGCGCAACAACTGGCTCCTGTTCAACGAGAAGTTCACCGAAGCGCCAACTTCACCGCCGGCTTCTACTCAAACTCCGATGTTTACAGGCGCTCACCCGGACATCGCGCCGGCGAAGATATATGGCATGCACGAATGGGACATCCAAGCAACACGGTGATAATTAACACTATCAGAGCGGGTGTGCTCGACAAAGACGCACTGCTTCTAACCGACGGAAGCGAACTTCGACGAGCCCGCGGAACATGCTTTACCTGCCCCGAAGCCGACTTACCGCATCAGCCATTTGTATCCCACCACAATCATAGTGCCCCAAATTACGCGCCTCTGGAGAAAGTGTACAGCGACATCCTCTACAATCGCGAACCTGGACAAGGAGCATACAGCTACACCATCACGTTCATCGACGCCGCCACTCGCTATGTCTGGCACCTCAACCTTCCAAGCCGCGATATGGCCTTCGAAGCCTTCGTTGCCTGGCTCCCAGTAGCAGATTGGGAATCAGGAGTTAAGCTAAAGAGTTTCCAGTCTGACGGGGGGGGAGAAAACACCTCACAGAGGTTCAAGCAGTACTTGGCAGAGAGAGGAAACAAGCGGCTCATCTCTCTCCCCTACGCCCACCAACAGCAAGGCGTAGCAGAAAGGATGAACAGGACTCTCTAGAACACCATGCGCAAGCTGCTACGTGGCATGCGGCTACCCAACCACCAATGGCCCGAAGCAATGGACCACGCAGTCATGCTGCACAACTTGCTCTCGTCATCATCGCTCCCGAACAACACATCACCGCACCTGCTATGGACAGGAAAACAGGGCAGCACAAAAATGTTGAGAGTTTTTGGCTGCATGGCACAGTACCGACCCCCAGCTGCACGAGCCGGCCGATTCTCCCAACGCGCACAGTGGGGCCTACACCTGGGCATTAAAAAGAATTACAACGCGTGGAATGTTCGACGTCCACTCAAAAGAAACAGTAGCAGCACGTGATGTCATTTTCTACGAGCGACTAACACTTCCGACGTACCTTGCCGACCTGGAAGAAGACCGTGACCCCACAGGTGGTTTTCATGGTGACCGAGCCTTCGCCTCGGCAGCAGACGAAGCTGACTGGGACGAACAGAACGTGGATGGAGCCTCGGAAGAAGCCGGACCTCTTCCTTACTGCTCAGTCGACATCCCGATGGACGACGAAAACCCTCGCGAAAGCATCAACGCCGGAACCTACTACCACTTCGCCGACCACGGTTACATAACACCCGCGCAAGTCAATACCGACGAAGCTGAGCGCATAGGACCCAATTTCATACATGACCCAGAAGCTGAAGACGAAGCAGTTTATCCCGAGGACACGACACTTCCCCGCTACACACAGAGCGGACTCCAGATACTCGGCCTCGTCACCGCGGTTCACGGCACGGCAATTCCTAAGAAGCCTGCCACAGTTCAGCAGGCTCTGGGGGGGGGGAGCATAGGTAAAAATGGCGCGAAGCCACGGATAGGGAGCTGAAAGCGCTGGAAGAACGGAACACCTGGAAAATCGTTGCTATTGGCGTGGCACGCAACAAAACGATACTCACCAGAAAATGGGTCTTCCCTGTGAAAACAAAGGCAGACGGCACCATCGACACATTTAAGGTGCGCTGGATCGTACGCGGCTTCGACCAAGAGCACGGACGCAATTTCACCGAGACGTTCGCACCGGTCAGCCGACACACCTCGCTGCGAATTCTCCTCACGATCG